ATTTTAATGTGTGATGACAGGTCTCCACTGGTTGCTATAAACGGCATGTCTACGAAGTGCCTTCAGGAAGACATCTTACGGACCAGGCTGCCATTGACAGAATTACTTGGGCTACATGGACCAGGTAAACATTCATGTATTCAAGTAGGGAAGGACTGACTGACAGTCACTTAGGAAAATGCTATTTCTGAACAGTTAATTCTGAGTTTTAAGTTTTTGTTACATTTTTAACTTTTTCCTAAGAGGAGAATGACATGCTCAGAGTGGGACTGCTTTTGGTTGCCTGTATTTCCAGGCTTTATCAGTTTCTGTGATTTATCAGAAAGGAAATCAAAGTTATGGTTTTAAAGATGCCCTGATATTTCCTTTAATGTTGTAAGTTTAACAACAGGCACTGAAAACATATATTGGGTACTGTTAGGCAATTGTATTATTTCTGTCTGAAAGGAATACTCTCTTGCAGCTGTTAGAAATGAAACCTTAAGTTTGTTCAAATTTGCTGGCTGTATAACATGTAACTATTATAAGTATCCATGTTTTTACTCAGAGTAAATGAAAACTGCCATCAAATTCCTATAGAATAAGCATCACTTTTTATAAAACCAGCTCTCATACAGTATTAATTTTTAAAGGATTATTTAATATGTAAACCTTTAAAATTATAAAATCTTAAGTGGAAAGGGTTAACATCCCAGATGAAACTCAGGACTCCAGATAACTTACCTTATCACAACTTGCTTCCTGTGTTTTAAACAACATAATTAGATACTTAGAGATTAATTACCAAAACACTCTGTTTCTATATGGTAAACCTATCTGTTTGCTATGGTGGCTTTTCTTTCCTTCCTCCCCTGTAGTATTCTAGGTGGTGAAGTTACAGGAATCTGGTCCAGACACGCCGAGAAGGCAGACGTCACCTGTGCCTGTGTGTCTCATTCAGGAATCAGCCTTGTAACAGGAGATGATTTTGGCATGGTGAAGTTATTTGACTTCCCATGTCCTGAAAAATTTGTAAGTGTTTGATTTAGCATTTTACATAATTATACTCCCATTTTAGACATCTGGTTATTAGTACTTTTTCCCACATAATAGTTCAATGTGTTATTGTATCCTGCTTTGGAAACACTTTGTGTTCAAGTTTTTTAAAAAAACTTCCTAAATCGCTTACTCTGAAGTAACAGCTATTAGAAATTATATCCCCCTGCCCAAAGTAACACCATCTTTAGCAACTATTCTAATAAAAAGCTGTCATTAGCCTTTTATCAAACCTTTAATCAATCTATTACCAAGTTTCAAATGCTTTCAATCAGAGCAAACTTTTCAGAGTAGCTGTAGACATCTGACTGCCCAAATCCCCTGGTTCGCATTCAGTGCAGATCCATCACTAATCTGAAAAGCTCGTAATCACTGGCTGTGGCCCTAACCCTCCTCTCTCCACAGCCCTGGTGATGGGAAATTATGGTTCCTTATGGCAACCTTTCACTTTATGGCTGCATCACATACCTTTGAGCTTTGTTTTTCATTGTTTTTTGTTTTGTTTTTGTTTTTTAAGGCAAAGCACAAAAGGTTCTTGGGTCATTCACCCCATGTGACAAATATTCGATTTACCAGTGGTGATCGACATGTGATTAGTGCGGGAGGTGATGACTGCAGGTTGGTACTTCCTCGGCCCAAGAGCAGGCTGTCTTTGCTACTTATGAAGAGACTGAGTATCATTTCTACAGCTTCAGTTTATGGGCTGTTAGCATCGCAAGGTAGCAAAAGCAGATGGCTCCTTGGAGTCCCATACTATGTATAAATACAGAATAAAAGGAATTAATGAGGAAAAATTTATATAGATATATGGTTTAGAAGCTCAATTGAAAATTTTATTCTGAAAATTTAGAAATATAATGAACTCCCTTTTCCCTCTGATTGCAGTTTATTTGTCTGGAAATGTGTACACATGCCTCATTGAAAGATACGGATGCTGAGAAGACTATAAACTAACAGCCTTGAGAAACCAGAATTACAGAAGAGGGAGAGGTGGTGCTAATTTAAGACTGTGACAGGGATATATGCCCGGAATCATCAAAATAGAATATTGCTAAATTCAAAATATTTATTATATGCACTGGGTAACTGTCCGCAGTCCACACACTGCCAGATAATTACATTTCAAGGATGGACTGAATACTTGATAGTGAGCCAATCCCCATTTGGGGGAGTGTGCAAATTGGCAGACCAGCTGGTGAGGTGTAGGGCACAGCACTCCTCAAAAAACAAACCAAAACCTTAAAAACCCAACTTGGATCATTTTCATTATCTTTTTTTTTTTTTTATCTTCACCTGAGGATATTTTTCTATTTATCTTCAGATAAGAGTGGGAGAGAGAAAAACATCGACATGAGAGGGACACATCCACTGGTCGCCTCCCACACGACCCCTACCAAGGCCGGGAATGAACCGCAACCGAGATACATGCTCTTGACCGGAATCAAACCTGTGACCCTTTGTACCGTGGGCTGACGCTCTAACTGTAGAGCCAAACTGGCCAGGGCTTCATTATCTTTTCAACAAAACTTGTACCTTTTAGAGTTTTCAAGGTTCATAGTTCAATAAAATATATCCTTTTGTTTCCATAAGGAAAGGAAACACACATCACCCTGAAGGATGTTTTTAAAAGGCAAACATTATTTCCCTAGGAGACATATATAAGCCTCACTGGAGGATGTATTATTTACTTCTTCAGCATTCATAAACGCCCTTTTTATAAAGGGAAGTCTTCTGGCATTTACAAGTTCAGGGACAAATCCAAAGTTAGTAGTATACGATTGCTACATTTTCATTTCTCAGCTGTCAGTGTTTATGTTCAGAAGTTATCTCTATATTTGAAAAATTAAAACGATTGTAGCCTCATTAATGAAAAGGTAGTATGATGAACAATCATTTACAATTGTGTACAGTTTTTTAAGGTTTTAGCAATAGTATTTAACTGGGAGAGAATGATGGATTATTTAAAGATGTTGTCTAACAGAAACCTGTTTAACTTGTAAAGAGTTAAATTCACATTTACGAAGGTATACAATTTAGTTAACTCTTGAAATAAAACTTTTAGCTTTTTTAAATTTTTAATTGGAAAATTTATTTAGTTAGATGTATGTCACCCATAGCCAACTTCCAAAAGGAATTAATAGTTCACTTGTCAAACTTGTCTGTCCCTTTTTGGTGGATTGGGGCTGAACCCTTAGATCTTTATTCCTATCACTTTAAACGCTGCCAAAGATCAGTACTTGCCATTCAGGAATTTGCTGTTTAGCCTATCTGTGGTTTCCTGAAGAATGGAAATTATGTAGACTGATATTTAAAAATATATTTTTCTAAGTGTGAAGAAGATTAAGATGCTATATTGGTCCTATGAATTTTTATTTTAATGTGTTTTCTTTGTAGCATAATAGGCCCCTTCATTCAGGTTTCTGGAAATCTGTTTTCTGTATCCAACACCTTGTAAATACTAAAAACAGAAATGGCTGAATTGTATCATAGAAAGCCTACAGTGATTGGACCTGGTCCGTTTTAAAGTTTGGAATAGCTGTGTCGGAAGCACTCATTAAAGGTGTTTAAGAAGCTTGAAACATAAAAATCATATTCATTATTTACATCAACATATTCTAAATAAAGGCACGTTAATACACTAGTATTATATTTCTATTCACATATATCATAAAGGAGCAGTTAATAAAGGAAAAGAATCCCCTAAACCACACTCCCCTCCCCTTTTGAGACAGTTGGCAGTCAAGTTTGCAGGCTTTTGGCTAAAGAGAAATTCCATCTCCATTACAGTACAGGTAGAACCTCAACCAGGTAAAGTATATAGGATAAAACTGCTTCCACTGCATTTCTGTTCTTCCAAGTGGCAAACTTGCTAAGTCAGCCTTAATCATTGTTGTCAGTTTCAGGGCTAGATCATGTTGAATTTAAGGAGTCATCCCATCAGCACCTTGCTTTTTCTGCTTTAGCCATCAAACTAAGGGAAGGTGAATAACCATGAGAATTGTGTGTTGTGCAGTATCTGACTGTGTTCCTGAATCTGTAAAGCTGAGACTTCTCCTGGCAACATCCATCTCGTTTCTGTACATAAACGCATGCCAAAGCACACTGCGCCCGGGCCACGCACTGCTTCCCTCAAGCCGCACCCGTCCCTGTCCCTTTTTGTCATCCTTTTTGTCATCCTTTTTGATGGTGGTTCATTTTAGACCAAGCTATCCAACAAATGTTTTAAGAGTAAACCTTAGCTTGCCCATAAACCATACCAACTGAAAGATAAAACTCTTAAATGTGTTTCCAGGCAGTGTTTCTTGAAATGTCTAGCAAGAAACAATTCCATTTTAGCATGTTCTTTCCTTGTAAATTGGCCGAATTAAACCACTTAAACCCATTTCTCACATATGTTCTTTATAGTGGAATTATGACACAACTATGTATTATTTATAAATGATGATACTAAAATGTGTTTAATTTCTGGAAATACAATTTAAAACAAATTTCTTCTGCAGAGATGTAAAACATCTCAAGTACTAACACGGGAATGAACAAATGCCTTAAATTCAACGGAGCCCAGGTTTTAGAAGTGGACTGCCACTTCACCCGCGCCTCACCACACAGCAGCGCCATGCTCTCTGTGCTTGGTCTTTCCTCTGGTGTTTCAAGTTCTTTCTTTGGCATCAGCACAGCAAAGTGCACCTTACAAGATGGCTAATAACTGGTTACTTCTTCTCCCAATGGAAAAGCAGTGGCCACAAAAAGACTGCTAGTTTCAGGGGCTCGTAAACATGGAGTCTAAAACATGGTTTCATTCTCTCTTGGGGATGTAATTGAAGAAGTCACTGAACTGTTTTTACAGTTAAGTTTAAGTTGGTCCTCAGAATGTTTAAGTCTTTATTATCCCTTTTGCATTAATTCACTTTTTCTTTACCAAATTTTAGCTCTACTTTAAAAAAAAAAAAAAAAAACTACAAGTCTTTAAAATCAGTGATCCATTTAATTCTAAAGTATTTGACACTTTTTGCCTTAACAATGTTAAAAACCACACACACACAACTCTGTTTTTTAATTCAGTAGTCTGAAAGTTTAGTCCTACTTTGCAATTTACCCATCTGAGCTCTGTAATTAATTATATGGTCTGTCATTTAAAATACACCACTGAAATCTAATTTTTACATTTAAAAAATTATCTTCAGTAACTTTTCTGTGGAGTAATTTGAGAATGTTTTTCAGTCTGGGAGAATGTATATGTATAGCTATAATCTTGTGAGTTTCAAGTCTGTTTTCTGATACCTATGCATATATATACTTGTAAAAAAATTTGTATAATTTTGTGATAATGTAGCTCCCCAAAATATTTATTTTAAAAGCATATGTTAACAGTAAATGAAAACATTTTAAGGAATTGTTCTTTTTTTCGCCATTCAAGCTGTTTTCACCCGACACCTCACTCATCCTCACCCGGAAGGCAAAGGACAGCTGCTTGGGAACCAGAGAAGCCGGTATCATCCTGCCTTTTAAACTTAAAAATAAAATTTAAAAGTAGGATGGACAATTTTAAGCCGCCTCAGCACTTTTGGCCACTATTATTTTTAGTGGATTAGGAACCCCGGAAAAAGTGAAAGTAGCAATCCAACTTTTGGAATAAGGATGCTCCTCACTGTATCGGTACACACGCACGCACGGACAGACACACACAGCAACGTGTAGCCCCAAACTGGATCATCAGTACTGACACGATCACCATGTTGTACATGCTGACACTTGAAACAGCAGTGTACTAACACGCCAACTGTTTTAATAGAATTCAGTTTTTCCTTAAACTGTCTTTCCAGAGTCAAAACAAGGCAAACAACAACAAAAACACCCACTTATTAAACTTACAAACTTGAAAAATTAGATACTTCAGATAGGCAATAAACTTCATATTATGAAAGCAATATATTCCAAGTTTCAAAGGTCTGACAAGTTCACAGAATCTCTTTCATCAGTAGAAGGAAATTTTCAAACTTCATGATCTTCTGCCAGGTAGGTCTGGGTGTTATTCACTGAATAAACAAAACCAAAAACAATTTTAAATTGTTTTGCATCTCTATATACCATATACCTTAACTAAGAAATTGAGTGTCTTCAGACAATGAATATTTGTTCTATAGGTTATGATATAAATATCAGATTTTTTAAATCTCAGGTACATAAAAGAACACACAGGCCACACTAAAATGTTCTGAAACTTCCCTTTTTTTCTCAATTACGTATGTCTAAGAAAATCAATGTGAGATTTGTAAGCAGTGTAACTCTTGAAGGCCTTAGTGGATATTCAGATGAAGATGTAACAGAAACCTGATCTGGAGATGATGATCCAAGTAAATACGCAAGTGCTGGGTAAAACAAAACTGGCTTATAGAGTCAATTATTTCCCAAAGGACCGTTATAAAATTAAGCATCAAGAAAAATCAAAGTGATGGTTTCCTACAAATTTGTGTGCTTATAAATTTCAGAAACTACGTATCAGAAAAGTATATGAATAACAGGAAAATGTATTTTCATCTTTACCTGGTTTGAGGCCGAATCCATTTCAAGGCATGTCGTGGAGGCACCGTGATGGTGGGATGATAAAACGTGCAGTCAGGTCTTGTACACTGAGTATTAAACCTACAGTGCTGAGAAGGGAGAATAGTTTCAACATATGCAAAGCTAATACAATTAAAAACAGCAATTTGAGTGACAATAACCAGCACAACCTAACATTATTGGAGCAAGAAATATGGTCTGTAATACTCATTTTAATACTACTGAAACCTTGAAAAATGACCCCCCCCAACCCGACACACATACAATCCTAGTCACAGAGTAATAGCAAGTCAGATGTCAAAAATAACCTTACTATATAATAAACTACTTCTAATCAATGTAATAATCGCCCTGCACACCCTTCCTTCCTTCACTGAGCCCTCCTGCATGCCCAACTGCAGTCAGGGGAAGCAAAGGCCTTCTGTATGGTCTTCAGGCAGCTCTTTCAGAGAGGAGATCCCTCTCGCTGAGCAATTAAACAGCCGAAGACACATCAGCCAATCTTTAGCACACAGACAAACCATCAGAACAAGTCTGGATGGTAGTACGCAGTACTACTGGATCTCGTCATCCAGTTGTGGCACTGAAGTGCGAAAAAACCACCTACATGCTTAGGGGCAGAGAAGAATGGAAACTGACTAGCAAAGGTAACCTTTACCCTCCTGCGAGCTCAGGACACTGACATTCAATAGTTTCACACCATTTGGCCTAAGGAGACAAAAGGGCTGTTGACACTAAGGAATAAAAGACCTTAAGGACCATCAAAGTTAACAAAATAGAAGTTATAGGAGGTGGAGGGGCAGAGGAGATACTCAATTTGCTAGTGATCTTCCAGGCCTCACAACTGGAAAGTTATCAATTATTCACTTTTGCGAAAATGAGAGTTCTTACTTTTGGATGATAGAAGGGACATTCCATTTTCTTACAAGCAGGGAAGTAACGGCAGAGCTGACTACTAGAAGATGCTGTTGGTGTTAGAACTGCTGACAAAAATAAGGGCAAACATTGATCTGATCAAATTTATTTGGCAAAATAATTTCTAAGCATTCTGATGTTTTATGGGAACCATTTTTAAATTAAAATACAATGAGGAGACATATTCATTAGTCAAGATAAAATACTGGAGAAGCCTACAGTATGCATAGACTTCCTCTTTGAAGACTGGTTACATTCATTCTGGTACAATTTTAAAACTATTCCCATTTTTCTTTTTAATCCAGTTTATAGTCACAAAATGTCATTTTAAATTTTTCTTACCCAAATGCAGTAATGTACAAAGTCACTAACCTGGTTTTGGAGACAGTATTGGAATTCTTCTACTCATATGAGTGAAGGGACAATCTGGCTTAGTACATTTTGCATCATATTTACAATTTGGATGGACAAACAAACATTTTTCAGCGAATTTACAATTGGGGAAAGCTCTATAAAACAAAAGAAAAGCATTATTATTCACATTTAATCCTCTCAATGCATTAGTTTTTGTTCAGGGGCTCCTTATACTCCATCACTACTTGTTTTGAGAAACTAAATAACAAAAGAATGAAACCCCATTTAAAAAAATATTTTTTCTTTACTGATTTTAGAGAGAGAGGAAGAGGGAAGAGAGAGAGAGATGGACCCACTGATGAGAGAGAACATCGATTGGCCGCCTCCTGCATGTCCCCCACTGGGAATTGGGCCCACACCCTGGGCATGTGCCCTGACTGGCAACCTCTTGGTACATGGGTTGATGCTCAACCACTGAACCACACCGGCCAGGCAAAAACCCCATTTTTAAATGAGGCCATAGCCCTGGCCAGTTTGGCTCAGCGGTTAGAGCGTCGGCCTGTGGTCCAGAGAGACCCGGGTTCGGTTCCCGCTAAGGGCACGTACTTCGGTTGCAGTTTGTCCCCGGCCCTGGTTGGTCGTGCGGGTGGCAGCCACTCGGTGTGACCCTTCACATCGATGTTTCTCTCTCTCTCTCTCCCTCCCACTCTATCTGTACAAAAAATTGAAAAATATCCTCGGGTGAGGATAACAAAAAAAATAAAAAATAAATGAGGCCATATATCAAACTAGGAGACACCTGTCTATTTCAAACTGTAGGGTAATAACAGCTTTTCAACTCCAGCCAAGCCACATGAATGGTAAAAGTTTTTGTGATAATGAAAATCATACCTCTTCTCTATCATTAAAATCTATGTTCATATTTTATGAAGTTCTATTGTGAGCACTATATACAAGGCATCATGCTACCAGAAAGACCAACCTCATGATCTCCCTATTTATACACCCATATTATTCTCACATCAAAATTTCCTGAAGTTAACATTTTTGACCACTCACGAGTTAACTCCTGTTTTCCTGCCCAAACGTTACAGACCGCGCACGAGGTAACTCGGGTTTGCACTTGCATTAGCTATTTCAGTTTTTGAAACTCAGGGTAATATAGGATTATTGTATTTGTGACACTCTGCCCTGAGGGTCGAAGTTTGAAAAACAGCACACCGTTCTATGTTCTTGAAGTAGCTAGGGAATGGGTATCTGCTGGTTCAAATGAGTGCAGCTCAGAACCCAACGTGCAGTTTGCCCAGAAACGTGCGTCCTTGGCGTATGTATTTAGTACGTCTTAGAGATTTCTATGTGGTACGCTGTGTGTTAAAGCAGAAGGAGATTCCTCCTATAGGACAGAAAAAAAATCTGAAAGCCTTCTCTCAAAGTTCATTCTAGTGAACCAGACAGCTGGTAAGAAAACATTATACCCAACTCCAAAATGTTTTCTCATTACCTGCTGCAGGTTCTTCCCCCCAGGCCGCAAACGTGTGTGTGAGCACCATGTGCACACCGGGCAGTTCTCACAGACTCCTCTCCTTCAATGTACTGAATCCCAATACCCCATTGGTCTGAGGCACAAAGAAGCCACCTCCCATCTCTCCCACCCTCAGCAAATACACACACACACAAGTATGCTGGCTGGGGGAGAGCCCTGCTAAGTGTCACTGCATTTAGTTACAGAACTCAGACTTGTCCATAAAAGAAAAAGTAAGTTATCAGATAACAGAAATCACCCTGGAGACCACACTGGTTTGCTGCTACTCACTTGCAAGGTGACACGGGGTGATGGTACGCACAGTCGTCCCCGTTCTTGCAGGCGGGCCAGTACTTGCAACGCTCCAGAAGTTTTTCTGGTTTCTGTGCCACACTCAGTTCACTGATCTCAGCTACAAGGAAAAGGGATTAAAAGGATCTCAATTATGATCTATTCAGTACATGGCACTTTTAATAAATTTCCCTCAAAACCCACTCTTAAAATCTTATCTTCTACGCCCATAATCATATGAAACAAACGCGCCCCGACAATCTGACGACTGAAAGCCCTGTGACCCCACAGGGAGTGGAAGTGGACAGTGACGCTGCACTAAGGCCAAGGTTCTCACAAGGCTCCGATTCCCCGAATCATTTCAGAGCTCAGTTACAGATAAGAGGGAAGAATGTCAAGTCGAGAGCAAATGACATGAAATGCAGACTGAAAACACAGGCTGACAAAGAAGGCGAACTAATTATCACTCGGGCAGGATCGTCCGTGGTCCAAACACAGAAGCGTGCCCAGGCACTGAGGTACATGCAGTTTTCTAAGTCCAGGGGATAAGCTCACATCAATGTCTACACAGTGAGGAAAAGACGTTTCCCTAAAATGGGTCACAAACGTCATTACCTACAGGGGCCCCAAGGGCCACCTAACTGCGCCTGGCTGGGTGTCGGATGATCAGTGGCAGACATCCTCCGTGGGGAGCAGAGATGTGAGGGAGACAAACGAGACCAGCGCACACCCTCCGAGGCTCACTGTCACCTGCTCACCACGTCCTGTCCATTACCATGTCAGTCACTGCGACTTCAAAAAGTGGGGCCCACGTTGCCAGATTGTCTCCTGGCTCAGCAAGCCAAAACCCTTTTTACATGACATCTACATTTTAAAATGCTGGCAACTAATTCAAATTTAAAATACAAAATAACCCAAATAAAGTTAACCTGATAGCCATAATGAGCTGCCAAGTTCTGGCCCAACACATCCTAGCCCCCCCCCCCCCAACAGCATCATGGGTATCACTGCTCTTGTTCATGAAAGCAGGTGTCACTGCAGCTTCAGCCCTCCAGTCTCTCACCGAGGTCAGGCTGCTCAAACAGGGCTCTGTAACTTACTAGCGGAAGGAGCTAGACACCGGGCAAGTTATCTAACATCTCTGATCTTCAGTTTCCTCATTTACACAGAGGAAATGATGTCTTCCTTAGATTTTTATGAGTACATGGAAACAAGAATGCAAAAGAGGTATCAATCCAAACCTAACAATGCAGCAGCTCGTGCTCTGAGCACCTGTTGCTCCAGTGGCCCACCATCAGTCTTCACTACGGGGCAATGAGGCACACAAGTCCCGCCCTGAAGCCCAATTAGGACAACCATCAGCGCCCTGGCCGGTCTGGCTCAACAGTAAGAGCTTTGGCCTGCAGACCAAAGAGTCGCGGGTTCGATTCCGGCAAGGGCATGTACCTTGGTTGCGGTTCGTTGCAGGGTTTCAGGAGTCAACCAATTGATGTGTCTCTCTCACATCGATGTTTCTCTCCCCCTCCCCCTTTCCACGCTATCTGAAGATAAATAGAAAAATATCCTCAAGTGAGGATAAAAATAAATCATCAGCATGATACATCAATTTTCCATTCTACTTTAAAAAGTCAGTAAGTCGCCCTGATTGGTTTGGCTCAGTGGTTAGTGTTGACCCGTGGACCAAAGGGCTGTAGATTCAATTCCTAGTCAAAGGCACATACCTGGATAGCAGGTTCGATCCCCGGCCCAGGCAATTAATTAATGTTTCTCTCTCCACCCCACCCCACCCCCCTCCACTCTAAAATTCAATGGAAAAATATCCTGGGGTGAGGAACAACAACAACAACAAAGTAGGTAAGTCATTATTTAGCTCCAGGATAAAAAGTCTCAAATGAAATCTGGTGGGGCCGAAGGAGCTTTCCCAGTTTGAGTGCTTTGTGTCACCCTGCAGAGAAGACGTGTGCGTGTTCCGTTCCTCTTAAAGAACGTTCTTTAGACTGTGGTACCTACGTGACAACCCGCCAAACGAAAGAAGTCAGAGTACTCAAGAGCAGGCTGGCCGGAAAGTGGAGTCAAGGGGCTAGATACTCACAAGCAATATTAAAGAAGTCAAATGCTATGCAAGGCAACACTCTTTCTGACTGAAATGTTAAATCATATATACAAAGTTCATGACTCTGGTTTTCCCTAACATTTACTTCAGAAGCTATTAAAACTTTTTACTGCAAGCTATAAAATCTGTACTGCCATATAATAGCCAGTGGGGATGGCTAAAAACAGTGGCTGCTGTTGGTAGCATCCTTGAAATGTGGGACAAAAAGCCACCAAAAGCAATGACAAAGTTTCCAACTCCCTGCTCGGAGGGGGAGAGCAAAACAGAGCACAGCCCTGCGCTGCGGCCTCACTGCCGGACCACAGAGCTCCCCGCATGTGCACCCTGCACCCAGACCAGCGCAATGCTGTCTCCAGGGCGGCCACTGAGGACACACCTACCGATCAAGCCTGACACGGGACATCTGCATTTACGTGAAAGTAGACCCTGACATATCAGAAAATTAAGCTACCTAACTGAAAACCAAAGCAGTAAGAACACCAGAGTTTTCTCTTACTTTAGACAAAATACACGAGGTCAAGAAATATGCACTGCCCAACTTGCAGGTCTTACCACCTTTGTTTCCGTTTTAAAATTTTCTTCCTTTCAATAGGGTCTCTTTCAACTTCTTCCACCCATCAAAACCATAACACTACATTACTGTCTTATTCAGTTCAAGGTAACAGTGACAGCATAACCCACAGACACAGACAACAGTGTGGTGAAGGCCCGGGGGATCGGGAGCAGGGTGGAGGGAGGCGATGGGGGAAATCAGGGGGGACATCTGTAATACTTTCAACAATAAAGATACATTTTAAAATATACATAATAGCGACGTCTCTTCATTCACTCACGTCTCCCCCTAGGGGCTTTATTTTTAGCTACTAAAAAAGGCATTTAATACATTTTCATATCTCTGCCAAGAAGTTTTACTTTGGAAAAATTTCAAAATTCATTGTTTTTTGATACCATTCATTTATAAGATTCAGTGAATTGTCTCCCCGCCAATAGGTGTTTCTAGGAACGTGAGGTCTGAGGACACGGTTCTCCTCCATCCTGAGCCGCCACGGGTATGCAGCAAGCAGCACGAGAAAGGCTCACCTTCCTAAAAGGATGTCGCTGTCTGAACTGAGTGAGCTGACTTCTAAATACTATGCTTAAATATTAATTTAAACATAAGGTCTTTTCTAAACTTCCAATAACTATTTTGATGGACAGGTGAGAAACTCCACTCAAGGAAAATTTCACTGAAGGAGAAATAGCATCAAAATCCAAATTCATTTTTCTATCTAGCTACTTCCGGCACGAGGGGAGAGTGACAGGCACAGCTGATCCCTGGGAGGTGAGCGAGGGTGGTGGTCCACCCTCTAGAGCTCTGGCTTCCACGGCTCAGCACCGTTCCAGCAAGGAAGACGGCCAACCTACACGCCACACACGCGAGCAACAGTCTCAAATTAACTGCTGCTTTGTCTGAAAAAAGAAAAAAGGCCACTACTGAATAATAAATAAAAGCAAGGCCTCCAGCCAATATTCGTTCCAGGTAAAGAAGCACGTCAAAGATTTCCTTCTCAACGAAAGCACCCTGGGAGGGAAAGTCTGAGCTCTCAACACACCGTGTGAAAAGCTACCATCTGGGTCATCAAGCTGCCTGCTCATCAACTGCAACTGCTGTGGGTGGAGACCTCTGAGTCCCTGGTTTGAGGCTGCAGTTTGGTTTACAGGTTTCATTCCTTCAAGGCACATGTCCTCCTCTTGATCTGACATGTATCCTGGGGGGCTGGGAACACCATCCAGCGTCACTATAAACTTGGGACTTGCAGGTTTATCTGGTTGTACAAGATCTCTGCCAGATAGATAGAAAATACCATAGAATTAGGGAAACGAACACATAAAGCTGAGCCTCCTAATGTGCTCTTCAGCAGCTCTCTCCCTTATCTGCTCTGTGGTGGGACTTCCAGGGTGGACTGGCTACCACACAAAGGCTGCGGCCCCGTCACCAGCGCCCTCCGGCTGCACTAGGGCCCTCTCTACTCAACCCTAGCCCCCTTGTCCATGGGATCCTCACAGGGTCACATGGAAAAAAACCTGAAAAGTCAGCATCCATGCCCAGAACACAACAGCCAGCAATCTACATTTACATGAATTTTATTAAACGTTTGTTAGAACATTTAATTTTCTAAGGGAAGAATCAGCCCAACCCAATTGGCTAACTCTCTCTGGAGAGAGTTTCTGATTTTGATCACCTGGCTTTTAAAATCTCATTTGCTAAATGCACATAAAGAAAAGAATCTTAACAACTAAATCATATGCTGACTTATTTTGTAGGATAATGGATTTCTATACAAGAAAGATGAATCGGAATTTCTGAAAACTGAATTTGGCTTACTCTACATATATGGCTTAAGAATTAAACCAACTAAAGCTCTCTACATGAGGGCCCAGACGGGAAGGAGGAAAGTGGGAACTAATGGTCACCCTGCGCTGCCTAGGAACATAAATTAGCTACACAAAAAAAGGAAACCATCTACCGTGTCTGCATAAGGTGTCCTGAAAGTACCCGAAGGGTATCTGCAGTCTTCATCCCCGACTCTTGGTTTGATGCCACTACTACTTCCTCAGACAGCTTTGGCTTCTTCAGAATAAATGATCTCGTGTCTGCATAGACCAGGGATTCCATGTCATAGTAATCTGAGCCAAAAAAATTGGCCACAAATGTTTACTTTTGAATATACCTTCATTCCCAACATCACACATGTGAGAAGAATGTCAATCTTTTATATCTTTGTAATTATTTTCAAAGGAAAATCACAATGGTTATACTTAGGAATAGGGCTGCAATGTTCTGAGCCAAACACCTTTTCAAGCCTCCATCCAGCATATAACCAAGGGATTCTGTATAGGAAGGTTCTTCCATGAGGCATCTAATGGGATATTACCAATTATATAAACTTACTTTAAGTACAACAATATTTTCCAAAAACATGGAGAATGAGTCCTAATGTTCCCTAGAATTATGATACAAAGATTGTTTAAAAAACTTTTTAAGATCTGTTTTTTTCATTTTGTATAGTATCACTTAGAATAATGAACACATCCTGATGACGGTAATTCAACTGTCATAGTTTCCATGTGTTGTAAAGACTACTTTAAGAGATAATTTTATGATGAACAGGTATTTAAAAAATACAGCAAGGGAACACAGACCTTCACTGCAAATAACCACAGCTCATACAATCTGTAATATACTTCAACCCAACTAATTTATAAAATATATCAAGCCCTGAAGCCCAGAATGGAGATGGCTGACCTAGCAATATGCAGTCTTCCGACTAAAGTTAACGAATTCCACTTTTCTTAAAGTTAACAGGCAAATAACGAGACCAAAATTCGGAGTATTCATTCATGTTCATTCACTGAACAAACTGAACTCCTGAGAGAACTGTGCTAGGTACACAAAGAAGAAAAAACAGAAAAATAGATGTATGCACAAGTTCAGAACAGTATGCCCCAAAAGGGGGACCTGAAAGGGTATAAACGGGTGTTGGGAGGAGGAGAGCGTAAGGCTGACCCTCTGAAAGAGTACTGGAGAAACGAGCAGTAGACTAGGAGGGAGCTGCAGAGCACAGCATCTCAAGCAGAGGGCACTGCACAGAGAAAGGCAGGGCCTTCCTGAGGCCCAGGGACTGAGGCGGTGAGAAGTGTGTGTGGCCGGAGGGCTGTGTGCGGTGGCTGAGCAGAGGAGTGGCAAAAAGGCTGAGCCATAAAGACCTCGTGTCAGTGAGTTTGGATTCTGGTCCAGAAGTAGTAAGTAACCAAGAGAGGTTCCTAAGTAAGGAGGTAACAGGTTTAAAGTGGTTTTCAGAATAAGAAACAATGGTAAGATGGACTGGAGTCCTAGACCTCAGTTACGAGGCTGTTGCATCGGGGAGACGGTGGGGTTCTGAATTAAAAGGTTCTCACCCCTTTTCCTCGTCTAACCACATTCCCATCAGCACTAGCACCTCACAGCAGGCGCATTTTCAACTACCACCCCAAGAAGAGGCCTTCCTGCAAGGGCAGCAGAGACTGGTAAAGATGCAGCAGAGAGCAGGAAGGAAGCAGAACGTGATGCAGGAAACAGAAGGCAGGAGAAAGTCAACTTAGAACGGGGCAAAGACACAGGGGCCAAGACATGGAAACAACTGAAGTGTCCTTCAGAAGATAAGGTACATATGGACACTACTCAGCCATATGAAAGAGAAAATACTGCCATTTTTAACAACATGGGTGGATCTTGAATATCATACTAAGTGAAATTAAGTCAGATGTAAAACGTCAACCACGTGATTTCACTCATTTGGGATATAACACTGAAACCAACAAACAAAAATGGGCGGACACAGACAGCAGTACGGTGGTTACCAGGGGAAAGAGGAGTAGGGGAGAGGGAGAGGTGCAGGGGGGATACACGGTGAACACACAATACAGTGCACAGATGATGTGTTAAAGAATCGTACACTTCAGCCCTGGCTGGTTTGGCTCAGTGGTTAGAGCGTTGGCCTGCAGACCAATGAGTCACGGGTTCGATTCCAGTCAAGTGCACGTACCTCAGCTGCGGTTCGCTCCCGGCCCTGGTTGGGTTTTGCGGGAGGCAACCAGTCGATGTTTCTCTCTCTCCCTCCCTCCCACTCTATCTGATGATAAATGGAAAAATAAGCTCGGGTGAGGATAAAAAAAAAATTGTACACTTGAAACCTACAAAGGGTGGGGCAAAAGGAGGTTAACAGTTGTTCATATGGAAAATAATAATAATAATGCAAAAAAAACCTCCATGTTTCATGTACTCACAACAGTAAACCTACTTTTGCACTACTGTATAATTTTATTAGCCAATGTTGCCCTGAAAAATGTAATAAAATTAGTAAAAAATAAAAGGCGGCAAAGATCATTCTCAATTTTAGATTTATTTAGTCTGAAGTTTTGTGGGGCTTTCGTATGTTTAGGAAGTAGAAGAAAACTCAGATGTGACCGCTGGAGGTGGAGGGTGGAGATACAAATCAGAGAAGCCGACTCAAACCTGGAGGTGAAGCAAGCACGTTTAGTAACTGTCCACATTCAGTGCTGCCTGCGTCCTCGCACGGAGCCCACGGCACCAAGACCACAGGCCTCCTGCGGCCGTAGCAAAGGCACGTCCGGACCAGCCCGAGGCTGCTGCACCCCTGCTCACCACCCTGCACTGTCCCGAGGCAACGCGGTTCTACTACAGTGCATCTTGGGAGGATACAGCTGAAAACAATGCTGAGGGCAGGACACAGGGTCGAGTTACATTTGAAGGAGCAGGGGAAGAGGAAAGAAGTGTATAAGGAGAATTAACAGATATTAGTAGAATGACAGACAGTAAAGTCCTGGGAGCCAGAGGATCAGAGACTAAAGAAAAAAGAATTCAAGCATCCAAACCAGGGTGTAGGAAAGTGTGCACTGAAAAGGGAGCTCTACCCACATGGTCACTGTCAGCTCTGCAGGCTTAGCGTGAGCAGCCCGGGCCAAGTACAACCAGACACACGGAACATGACATCTGGGTAAAGAACACAGGCTGAACCCAGGCGTTTTGTTTCCTACTGAAACCTCACTAAAATATCAATAAAGGGTTATTAAGAAAAAAAACTCACAAAGAAAGTGACTGTGAAAGGAGATTCAACCACAGAAAGTGAAAAACTAACTTAGTAGATCTTCAAAAGCTGAGTCTTAAGCCAGTAATGAAGCCATCCCGAGTGGATCCCAAGAGTATCAACAGCTGAGAACAGGCAGCACAGGGGACCTTGGGCCTCCAGGAGCGGGGGGAGGACAGGGCAAAACAGACGTGTTCACCGTCCATTTCAAACACCGTTAGTCCTTCCCAAACTCTCTCTTCATTTCCAGTCAATACGGCACCTTCCCGCTACCTCTACACTGAAGACACCGGGAGAACTGGAGACCCGCCTTTGCACTGACCACCGCGGGAGCCGCCTACGGATGAAGCATCCTGGTCTCTGACAGAAGGGTGCTACCACATTAACTAAATGCATATTATTAAAATAGTTAAAAGCAGTTAGACTCCCTGATAACCTCTGACCATTTTTTCCTTGGAGGAAGTAAAGCTTTAGACTCTTGAAAGCTGAAAACAGAGGGTCTCTGGACCAAGGGATGCCAGCCAGGCCGAAAGCAGCACCATTTTGAAACCAGGAGGGGTTGCTGAAGTAAACATTACGTAGTTCTTAACGTTGAGACACCTTCCCTAGTGCCCTTCCCCCTTAGCTCCCAGCCAGTCCATTACCTCAAAGGCCTTTCTCTGGAGAAGCTGGCCAGCCTAAGAGGAAAGGCCTAGAGACCCTGACAGGAGGGTGCCCCAAACCAGACAGCAAGACAAATCACTCTCCACTGCAGATCTACGCTCCAACGGGACGGGCAAAGCCCCACACCAGCTAACGAACCCAGATGCCAACAGTTTTTAAGTGCCCCACTCTTACATATAAGACAACCAAGGGTCCCCAGCTATCTGAGGAAAACTCTTCATGAAAGACAGTGATCAAAATAAACTTGGAGAAAAAAAGACTCCAAAAAAAAAGAAAGTCTAAAACTACCTTTAATATCCTTAGTACTGCCATACATGAAACAAAACCAAAACTGGTATGTTCAAAGAAAACAAAAAGGTAGTGGGGGGATGCAGGAAAAAAATAAATTATCGATGGCGGCCGGAGCAGCTCAGCTGGTTGCAGCAGCACCTGTTCACTGGAAGGTCACAAGTCTGACTGTGGTCAGGGCACGTATCTAGGTTTCGGGTTCGTTCCCCAGTCAGGGTGTGTATGGAAGGCAACCGATCCATGTATCTCCCTCACATCAGAGTTTCTCTCTCTCCCTCTCTAAAATCAGTTTTTAAAAAATTATAGGAGGTAAGTAAAGGATGTAGTCATTCATAGCCTCCTAGAACTACTTGATGATCAAACCTTATAGGCACCATGGATAAAAATAGTAACTAAAGGAAACAAAAAGAATGTATGAGCTCCAGCTGGTGTTGTTTAGTAGCTAGACCATCAACCCATGGACCAAAGAGTCGCAGGTTTGAATCCCGGTCATGGGCACATGCCTGGTTTGTAGGTTCGATCCCCGGCCCCAGTCCTGGTGTGTGCAGGAGGCAACCAATTAATATGTCTCACAGAGACATTTCTCTCTCTCCCCCCCTTCATCCCTCCCTTCAACTCTCTCTAAAAGATCAATGGAAAAAAATCCTCAAGTTAGATTAACCACCAAAAACAAAGAAAAGAAAAAGAAAAAAAAGAGCGTGTGAGAGTTAAGCGGATACAATATACACAGACTTTAGCTGACAAACATTTTGAAAGAAAATACCCTTTATATAGAAAGCAGGATGGAGTGTTGGGACATGAGAGGGCGAAATTAAGAATGGAGAATTTGCCCTGGCCGGTTTGGCTCAGCGGTTAGAGCGTCGGCCTGCGGTCCAGAGACCCGGGTTCGGTTCCCGCTAAGGACACGTGCCTCGTTGCAGTTTGTCCCCGGCCCTGGTTGGGTCATTTGAGTGGGAGCCACTTGATGTGTCCGTTTCACATCGACGTCTCTCTCTCTCTATCTGAACAAAAAATGGAAAAATGTCCTCAGGTGAGGATAAAAAAAAAAAGAATGGAGAATTTCTACAACCCTTTCGTAAGGAGAAGCCAAAGGAGCGGCAGAGACTGGAGCTACGTGTGGTAGTAACAGACTGCACATCAATGGGGCAGGAGCTGGCACCCGTGTGGGAGGTCACCCTCAGAGAAGACACGCACATCTTTCTGAGACAAGAGGCTGCAGAAGGGTCAGGGAATAAAGGTGGCAACTGTGGAGTCTTGACCCCGAGGAACAAAAATTCAGTTAGAAGCTGACAAGCACGGATCAAGGGACCAGAGCCTCCAACAAAGGGCAGGTTTAGAGGAAATAGAAGGAAGCAGAGAAAATAAGACTTCTGGATTTAAGACCCCAGGTGTCCAACAGCTCCCACCACTTATTTGACAGACATCAGGATCACCCATGCATCTGGCAAGGGTGCTGGGAACAGAGATAAATACGGCACTAGCCCCAGTCCTGAAGTAACCATGGTGTGTTGGGGGTGGGAGAGAATTAAGTTCCAGTGGCTCTAAGAACCACAAACCCCGTGTGTCCTTGGCAATGAGATTTTAAAGTGAAGTAAAATTGAGGACCGGGTTCAACAGGCCAGGGAAATTACAGCAGCTCAGGGCAATGGCAAAAGTTGGCTAGAGGAGAGCAAGGTAGGGACTCAAACCATCCCTAGAGCAGGGTAGAGTAAGCAGCCAACAGGTTGCAGGGTCCCAGGTGAAATGGCAACAGAGGAAGCAAGTTCTGGAATGAGGTGAAAAATACAAACACCATGTAACATAAAGAAAATGCAGATCTCGTTTCCTGCCCCTGTTTCACAGGTCTAAATACTGTATCTTAGGGCAGGATCTAAGAGATACAAGGCACATTAAATGAAGTGTAAGGAATGGAAATAGTAACTGAAAAATGCTAGATTACACTAAAAATGTAAGATGATTACCAACCTGGACTGATCTGCAGAGTTTCTGCCATTACTGGGTCAATCTGCAGCCGGGACAATAACTGCCTCTGCGGAGTTCCTAGAGTATAAATTTTAAAACTTTACTAACCTTAAAATACAATACCATCGTGTGTATGTCTCAGAAATAATATTTCTGGGTTCTTCACAGTCTTAAAAATAAATTAAACCTTAAATAATACAATTTAATAATATTTCTAGATCAAAGATCTGTAAGACAAAAACCTGTACTCAGGGTTAAACCAAAAACAGCAATGGACAAAATTCCTGGTTCTCCCTCTGGAGGCTGGTTTCCCTGGACTGAAGATAAAGCCTGGGATAAGAGTGAAAGGTGGAAAAGCCAAAGGCAGGTGCTGCATGGACTTACAGCTTGCACCATGGGACACAGGTGATCGCTAACGGCAAGATCAACATAAGAACCATCTCCCTCCATCTCCTAGACTCTCACCATTATGACTCACTCCACCGATCCCTGGAATTGCAAAACAAAACACTCCAGAGCTGCCTGGTTGGAGAGTTCCCAAAAGACTTATGGGCTTAGATGTTACAAAGAGAACACTGAACAAATACAACTCTCAGCTCTGCAGTCCAGGTCCTACCCAAAGCATGAAAATAACCACTTGGATTTCCCAAAGGAAGATGCTCAGTTAGAAACAGGCTTATAATTTTTTCAAAGTTACACCGCAAAACAAAAAGCACTGAACAGAACTGATTTTCTCTATCTTCATTGGAGGGTAAGCACTCTGAGGGATGAAAGGCTGTTACACTTCTCCAAGCCTCTCTGCCCAATGTCTAGCATGTATGAGGTATGCACTTGCAGACTTGAAACAAAGGCGTCACAGTGCAATGTACAAAGGGATGTGACTGGCAGGGTTCCACACACTGAAATACCAGACGCCTGCATGCACTTTTAGTGCATCTATTACTGGCAGTTTCACAAGGACAGCCTTTGCTCACTCAGTACCAACTGCCATGTTTCATTTTAAAAGGGGTTTTTAAATTTTAAAAGCTACTCTCAATTCAAAATCTTATCAGCTATTTTCTTTTAAAATATGTTACATTACATTACTCTTTAGTGGCGTGCCAAAATAAAATTAATTCCTTTCAAAACTGTCATGGTAAAAACACAGTAAATCCTAAGAAGCTGACCTCAAAATGAAAGACACAGTTACTTGATCAAGTCAGTGAATTCCTGTAGGATAGCCTGAGAAACCGACATGAATTAGTTACAGGAAGAATGCTCATATAATTCAAATACAACAGGTCTCTTTAACATAAACAGTGGACAATAAAAGAATTATATATTTTAAAATAATTTCACAAAACAGATACAAGGCACCATTTTCTTACATTTCAAATTTTGTTTCATCTCTCTATGCTCATCTATCTTTTCAACACAACACAGAGAGATCCACCAAAGAGGATGAAATTCTGGCAAGTTCTAGACTTCTAAGCTAAATCACACGGGGCCCAATTTTGTCAATAAAAGTCCATGAAAACTTCAAGCTCTTTGTGACTTGCTGCCTCTGTATGAGCCCGAGCCATGTTCCAGGAAGATACAGCGCCATGGGTGAGTACCTAGAAGATACCACACACTAGGAATTTACCTTTCTCAATGTTGCTAAGGAAGCCAATTATTTTTACATCAGTAGTCGTAGACTGTGATTCAAAATCTACTTCCTCACGAAGATCTTTGAACTCTCGGTTGTATTCAGTTGTTGAATATTCATTCATTTTAACCTCCAAAGATGAAATTTTCTCTTCATTCTGTGACACTCTAACATTTAGATCAAAAAGATTTGCTTCCACTGTCAAAATTGCTGTTTTCATTCCTTTAATTTCATTGATATCAGCTGATATTTTCCTTAAAAGATGGGAAATATTGTCTAGCTCATTCAGTGAACAAGAGGAACTTGTTACAGAACCTAAGTCAACTGGCTCAGGTGAGGAGAGAATCGGTAAAGATGTTGATGAAAACCTTGAAGACATTTTCATAAAATTTTCTCTTCCTTCTATTTTTACAAAAATTTCCTTCACAGCCCATTAAATCGTTTCATCAAAAGTAAAAGTACTGATTTAGGCTGTTACTTTAAGAAGTATTGAGAGTGAATAACATTTTAAAACCTGTAACTAAAAAGACAGGGTTGTATATTTCTGGAATCAGAACTCAAAACTAAAGTCCTACTTACAGCTCCTCTCCAAACAATGAACCCTATTATTACATACAAGAGAATTCTGCCTTCTGATTGGCTGAAAACAGACATGTAACAACACAGAATTTTCTATTATTTACCTCATTTGCTTTGGGGCCTAAATTAAGCAATTTAACCACATTGAATACTTTATACCAGAATACGATGTGAATTAAGTATACTTTTGTCCTGTCATCTATTAAGTGATCGTTATTAAGTTTCAGATTATTTACATGGTCTTATCTAGTTTCTTCAGTTTCATTTCCCCTTAAAAACAGTATAGGACACTATCTGGTATTTCCCTTGTAGGCAGAGGGCAGAGAGAATAATCAGACCCATGATCACAGACAAATCTTTCTAAAAATATGTGGTCCTAATGGAATTCAACTGCACTGATATGGTATGTCAGAAATGTAAAGGTAAGGAAATGAGGACTTGGCCTTGGTTTGATACAAAACCATTATTAGATATGTGATGTTCTCCCACTCTGTGGGGTTGTCTTTCCATTTTCTTGACAGTATTCTTTGAAGCACAAAAATTTTAAACTCTGATAAAGTCCAACTGATCTACTGTTTCTTTGGATGTCTTTTGGTGCCATATCTAAGAAACCATGGCCTGCTTAAACCAATCTCCTTTAGATTTTTACCTATTTTTTCTCCTAAGAGTTCTATAATTTTAGTTCTTACATTTAGGTCTTTGATCCATTTTGAGTTAATTTTATTTTTATTTTTTAATTTTTTTTTTTATCCTCACCCGAGGATATTTTTCCATTTTTTGTACAGATAGAGTGGGAGGGAGAGAGAGGAAGGAGAGAGAAACATCGACGTGAAGGGACACATCAAGTGGCTGCCACCCACACGACCAACCAGGGCCGGGGACAAACTGCAACTGAAGTACGTGCCCTTAGCGGGAACCGAACCCGGGTCTCTCCGGACCACAGGCCGACGCTCTAACCGCTGAGCCAAACTGGCCAGGGTGAGTTAATATTTATATATGTTATAAGGCAAGGGTTCAAGTTCCTTGTATGTGGATATCCAGTTATCTAATACCATTTGCTGAAAAGACTATTCTTTCTCTACTGAATGTCTTAGTATACTTGTTGAACATCAACTGATCATAATTGTATTGGTTTCTGGATTCTCAATTTGATTCTACTGGTCTGTATTATACCTTTATGCCAGTACCAATTTGATTACCATTGGTCTGCAGCAAGTTTCGAAACTGGGAAATATTTAAATTCTTCAACGTTATTACTTTTCAATAGTTTTGGCTATTCTAGGACCTTTTCATTTCCATGTAAATTTTAGGAACAGTCTGGCAATTTCTGCAAAAAAGCCAGTAAGAATTTTAACAGACTGAGTTAAATTTAAATATGTCAGTCTTCCAATTCATGAACACAGAATGTCTTTCCATGGCTTTAGTTTGAGAAAGGTCATTTTTTCTTTGGTTCATCAACAATCAACAAATAAGTTGTGTAGAATATGAAGATGCAAATAGTGGACATGTCTCTCCAGAGCCTCTCCAAAGAGTGCTTCTTGTAAAGAATGTAGCCTTTGGTTTCCCAGTTAAATAGCTGTTGTTCACAATAAAAGAATAAAGAAAAAGTATTTAAGTTTATATAATAAGAATCTTTATTCATGTCTCTCCTGTATCTGTAAATTAACCTAATTCTTCAAAATCTTTGGATAGAAAATAACTGTCCAATGTTACAAGGCTTTAGATTCACATAGAATTTAAGAGCACGAGGCTCATGGACAACATCTACAGCAAACATGAGGAAGAGCCAAGTGCCACTGCAAACCAGCTGGTTCAACAGAGGGTAGCAAACACACTTCAGTGAGAAAAGCAGGGAAGCAGAGCCTGAATCACAAAGAAACAAGGTGCCTAAAAAGAAGCTTCATGTCATCACCCACTGTGCCCAGATCGATTTTAGAATGCAAAATAAGAGAAGATCCTTCCATAGATTCTAATGGAAATATCCATCAGCAGAGGAAATTTACATATTTTAAGAAAAATGGAGCACAGCCAGGTTAATGTCAGCTAGTAAGTGGCAGAGCCTTGATTAACACCTAAGAAGTCAGGCTCCCTAACTGAGTCCATATATTCATAATCATTGTATTGTTATACTTCTCTCCATGATACATTAAGCGGAATAAAACATGTCAGCAAAATTCTTGTGGTGTAATTCCTTTCATATACACATATATGTGCAAGCATATAAATATACATATAATTCTCCTTTATACAGAAAGGTGCCCACGTACATACACATGGGGGAAAGCCAAGAAGACTACAGATAACGCACCAAACTGTTTTAGGTGCAGTGCTTACCTCTGAGGAAGACAGTGGGCAGAACGAAGGGAAGATTTCCCTTGTTTTGTCTGAATATAAAAACTCCTCTTTACAAACACTCTTTCATGGTGCTTCCAGTCCATGATATATTGGGTATATGCAATTAGCCTCTCCTTCCGGAGAGTTCATAAAAAGCAAAGAACTTAAATAGTGCACAATCCTTAACACACAGCAGTGAATTCCAAACTGGGTTTCTAAAATTATGTACTAAAATGTAGAAAAAAGTATCAGAAATTATATTATAGTAGAAATATTTATCTCCATCCTCCTCAAAATTCTGTTTTTATATGTTCTAACATACACACTATAATAGCGTGTTTATATGTAAATAAAATATACTGAGTGTATGCAATAAAAAACTATTTTAGTATACAAAACAACTGTATTGTCAAAAACATGGAGATCACTGATTTAGAGATGGGGTTTAGGGGGGGGATGGCAGCAGATGAGATTTCAACCACCTCTGGAAAACAAAATATGCAGACAAATACTGGGTGTGAGGAGGAGCAGAAAAGCC